AAAATTCAACTGGCCTATGCGCAAAATCAGCAAATGGGTTCAGTTTTCTTGGACATTAAGGGGACTTTTGATTCTGTTTGTATCGACGTCCTTTCGGATAAACTCCACGATAGTGGGCTTTCACCAATTATGAACAACTCTTTGAGCAACTTGTTGTCTGAGAAATATATGAGCTTCTCTCATGGAAACTCGACAACTTCACGAATTAGTTACATGGGTCTCCCCCAGGGCTCATGTTTAAGCCCCCTTCTTTGTAATTTTTATGTAAAAGACATTGATGGTTGTCTTGATGAAAATTTCTCGCTAAGGCAGCTTGCAGATGACGGGGTTGTGTCCGTTATATGACCAAGTGCACCGGACCTGCAAGGACCATTGCAAGATACCTTAGACAATTTGTCTACTTGAGCTATGAAGCTGGGTATCGAAGTCTCTCCGGAGAAAACTGAGTTGGTTGTTTTTTCTAGGAAGCATCATCCTGCACAGGTACAGCTTCAACTATAGGGTAGAACAATCACTCAAAGTATATCTTTCAAGTATTTAGGTGTCTGGTTCGGTGCTTTTACGTGGGGAAAACATATTGCGTATGTGAAACAAAAATGCCAACAGAGAATCAATTTTCTTCGTACAATTACCGGAACTTGGTGGTGAGCACACCCGGAAGATCTGATCAGGTTGTATCGAACAACCATCTTGTCGGTTCTAGAGTACGGTAGCTTCTGCTTTCAATCCGCGGCAAAAACACATATCCTGAAGCTGCAACGGGTTCAATACCGTTGCCTCTGAATCACGCTTGGCTGTATGCACTCGACGCATACGATGAGCCTCGAAGTACTCGCGGGTGTTCTCCCACTGACAGATCGTTTCGCGGAACTGTCCTTCCGGTTTCTTATCCGTTGTGAAGTAATGAACCCATTGGTAATAGAAAACTTTGAGAAGCTGCTCGACAGAAATCCTCAAACTAGATTCATGAGTCTCTATTACGAGTACATGGTCCTTCTTCCTTCAATTCCTCTCGTGTTTGCCTCCAAGACTTTTATAGTTCCTCTGTAAATTTTGATCTGACCATGTTGCAAGAAATCCGTGGAATACCAGATCACCATCGGTCGATGGTTGTTCCCTTAATTTTTGCAAACAAGTACCACCATGTCAGTAACAATAAGAGTTTTTTTTCCACAGATGGGTCAACTATAAACGCTTCCACTGGATTTGGAGTATTCAACGAATTTCATAGCGCCTTATATCAACTGCAAAAAATCCTGTTCCGTATACGTTGTGGAACTAGCAGCCATATTCTACGCAGTAGAGCAAATTGCCTCACTACCATCTGATCACTATTTTATTTTTTCTGATAGCCTTAGCTCGTTGGAGGCTATTCGATCAATGAGGCCGATGAAGCACTCCTCGTATTTCCTGACCGAAATCCGAGCTACATTGAGTACTTTATCTAACTGCTCCTATACTATCACCTTAGTTTGGGTCCCATCTCATTGCTCAATTCCGGGTAATGAGAAAGCGGACTCGCTAGCTAAGGTGGGCGCTATGGAAGGCGATATTTTTGAAATCAAATTTTCAAATCGCCTTTGCGGAATTTTTCTCAATTACCCGTCAGCACGTCCTCACCAACTGGCAACAAAAATGGAATGAGAGTGATCTGGGAAGATGGTTACATTCTATTCTCCCACAGGTATCGAACAAGCCATGGTTCAAAGGATTGGACATGAGCCGTGACTTTATACGTGCCATGTCAAGGCTCATGTCTAATCACTACTCGTTATAAATCTTGGCGAGCCGAGATCTTGAATATTTTAATTTAATTTATGTGTTTTTAAAACGGATCGATCTGAAGATTTAGTAGTTAGTGTCATCTTGTGTTCTCTCAAGTTGCTAGGTCTCCATCGGTGTACCCCCATGTTTGTCTTTTTCTCCAGTAGGTCGCTTAGTTCTAGATCAAGAGCACATTGCTCTAAAAAATCTTGTGTTCTCAATCCCTACCCTGCCACCCGTTTTTTACAATTTGTTACCCCTAACCTCGAGATAGCCGCGAGTAATCGGTCCCGCTTTACTAACGTTAGTTTTAAGTAATTTTGTAACCCAAACGATGAATATTGGCTCCGCAAAGCTACGGCAAATGAGCCTGGAAAAATAAATGCATAAAAAAAATTATTTTTTACAAAGGCTGTTACGCCCTAATTTCAGCACTATCTAGAATTGTTGTGCGACATAAGGAGCTCGGTGGCATTGTGGCGACCGATTTTGATTACTGAGCAGAGAATCATGGGATCAATCTCAAGCTCCTTGACATTATAGAGTTATAGTGTAAATTGGATTTTTGTATAACATAAAGCGTATTGAAATTCGGTTGGAAGAACGAGTTCGTAAAAGAAATAGTATTCGAAATAGTATATAATCCTTCTCAAGAGTAGTTGTTATTATAATTGGTGAGGTCGCTGCCGGAATCTAAATCTAGTGACAACAAGTTGAACGGAAACTTGATCGTAATTGTTTTGTGATATAAAGAGCTCGGTGGGCTAGTGGCGACCGATTTTGCTTACTGAGCAGCGCAAGCTCCTTCGCGCTATTGAATCATTAGGGCATCAATACAGCGAATCGTTTACCAAAACGAATCATGCTGCAATCTCAACCATTGTATTCAACATCCGAGTGATTTCTCTTGGAAGAGTAGAGGAGTTTTTGGCTTTCAGAACAGCGAGTATCGTCAACATATTCTTACCCATTCCTTTCTTGACTGGCGCTGGTATTGTCTAGTTTTAGATCATCAGTATTTACACATTGAGGATGATTGCTAGTCCCAAGCAACGTCCATTGGTTCTCTGTGTAATTACAGCCGATCTGTTAATAACGGAGTTGCATCCTCGAGCAGTCAATCATGCTCATGCTCATGCTTAAATATACATGGTATTTTTGTTTGCATAGTAGTTTTGAGTGAAATATTTTTTTTTAAGTTCATACAAAACGTAAACATTTGGAATATTTAACCATGGACATTTGAAAATAGGCGAACATCGTTGAACAAGTACTTTTGGTCAAATATTTGAACTTTTTGCTGTTAAGCTTTTTTGTGTAAACAATATTTGAGACATTCTAAATCGTGTCCAAACATTACATACAAAACCTAGTTAGCAAGAAGTTTAAAAATAAGTGTCCATAAGTACTTCTAAAGTTTGCATTTTTAATGGGCTGTATTTAAAAATAAATTATTAATATTGAAGATCTAGTTTTTTTTAGATAGGGGAAATGACGGCTTCGGCATGACAGACTATTTTCGGCAACACAAATTGAAACACTATTTTCACTGGATTTTCTTACGAAAACACTTCGCTGAATGCATGCAAACGATTTTTTATGCTTTCAGCTTCAATTTGACTATATTTTTACCACTGAGAAAAAGCAATCTAGCAAGGTTTTCTTGAGATGCAACACACGCACTACAAATTGTAGCTGATTTCGAGTTGCCAATAATAGAACAGCAGATTTACATGCAGTTCAAATGGAACGATTGCCGAAGAAAAACTGGTTGCCGACAATACTCGCTCTCACTAGAGAAGATTGGAGCTTTGTAAAAGCGTTTCAAAACAGTTTTTGACAATTCTTTCGACTGAAATTGTTAGAGCAGCTGGCAGCAAAAGATTGTAAACAAACCAATACTGCATATGTGTGCGTTCCTTAGAGAAAAAGGCTATAGAAAGAAGGTCACTGCTTAGGTTGCCGAGAATACGTACATTCCCCTATTTCAATTTTAATATTTTTTGAATTTTCACTCAAAATTACAAAAAAAAATAAGTAACGTGTATATTTTCCCAGAATTACTAACTTTCTAAACAACTTTGTCTCATCCGTCATTTCGATGACAATTGATCGAAAAATGTCAAAGACTCCATTTTGAAACAAATACAAGATTCAAAATGGCCGATTTTTCGCAAATATGTGAATGATTTTCCACAACACATAACTTTGCAAAGTTTCATGCAAATCGGAGATGGTCGAGTCTTGAATTTTTATTTTTTATCCTCTTGCCTTCCTCTTGAATTCAGAAAATTTTGCGTTTTAGGCTCGAAAATTTATGGCATCATTTAGGAAACTATTCAAACCGACTATCATCAATGAATTTATATCACATCTTAATAACTATTTTGACAGCTCGCTGTCGCATAAAATACGTGGAATCGGATATTCAATTAAATAAATAAACACTTCCAGTTACAGAAACCTACACACGAGTGAGAATTTTCAAAATTTCAATGAGGTTGTAAATTTAAACATTCACACTTGTGCCTGGTCGTTGATTTTGGCCCACTTGTGCCTGTCCAACGACGACGATGACGACTCTGTGATATTTTAGATACGCAGATCACGAACATCTAGATAGCATCTTTGCGGTAGCAGCATCAAACAAAGCCAAGCCCACTTTGTGCTCAATCGATCAATCATGGGTTTGATGACTTCCTAAACGACGACGAGTCACCACAACCATGGTACCTGTATATACGAAGATCGCTAGGAGCGGCACGTCATAGTGAAGCAGTGCAAAGTGCTTGCGATTCAAAAACAGGCAGTTCATTTGAATGGAGAAAAGGATAGGCGTCGAGGTCATGAGTGATTTCACTGACCTAGGGGATAGCGGATGGTGGTCACAAATTGAGTAGCAGTGTTGAGAGAAATCACGCAATCACAATTGACGTACCCCTTGTCTCAATCTTCTGCACTTGATTTTGCAAATTTGGTAGGACCAACTCTAGACAGCCCGCCTCCCGTTTGCTTACTAGCAGCTAATCTAAGCGCAACAACAGATGGTTTTCTGTATCATGCACATGGTAGCTCTTTGCCTTGGATGTCCACCGCATTGTTCGTGACCGGCTCGTATATTCACATTTATTCAACGATCCCCGCAAACACGCGTGGACGGACTTGCCGCGATATTGATAGTCGCATTCGCGGAATATATTTCTGTTTCTTCGCACCACTTTGAAAATCATTCCATTCGGTCGGAGGCAGATGACTCAGTCATCGGTGAGATTTCGTCCGGTGTGGTAGAACTTTAAATCCGCTCGGCTAAATGTGAAGACGCAGCAGAAACTCGTGTGTGATTCGAACCGTAGGGTTTTTCCCAAGTACGACATTAAATTTTCCCTTTTTCGGTGCTGATAGCCTTTGGGTTTTTCAATTACACCAACGCCAACGGTGCCTTTCTCCGCGACTAGACACACTCAGCCGGTGATTGATTCGTCTAGACGATTTGATTGACGGGTTGGAAATTGTTCCGAGGACACACCCTTTCGGACCCAGTGACGACGTCCAACGTCGGCGAGCAACGCACTCGGGTTAAAGAAATTCCAACGGTTCCATCCCGCCGCGACGGTGTGAAAAGTGCATGTGCTCGCGAAGACTGAAAGAAGAAAAAAAAAATCGGAAAAATAGATTACACTGAAATGATGGAAACGAAACTAGTTCTGCTGCTACTGCTGCTACCCTTCCTGCTAATGGATTGCGTGGCCGATGGGGCGGATTTCCAAAGTGAAAGCTGCTCGGACTCGGAAGCGCTCGTCTTCTACCGGATCCGGCTGGTGACCAACTGGAGCAAGAAGCTGTTTCCGAAACAATACCCGGAGTTCCGACCGCCGCCGCAGTGGAGCGTCACCTACGGTAAGGTCCATGGTGTCTAATGGGGAAATCGTGATGTTCGAATTTGTTTAATTATCTGCTTCAAGGGAAATTTTACAATTGTTGGGCTGATGAAATGCTGTAGGTTGTTGTGAACAGGCATGGAAAATCATTTGCATTCATTTCGTGCATTCATTTGCCTCTAACTTTTTTCTTCAACAGCGTTCCGCGAAATGATGTAAAGAGTTTTTGTAGGTTTTATTATTAGCTACAACTTTTATTAACAAGTCAAATCCGTATCTCTTATGCATGACAATCCAGATCGAACAGAAGCCACTACTGTTTTTAAGTGAATGTATGTTACATTCACTGAAAAACAGTAACAAGTTCTGCCCGCTCTAGTTCGTGATGCATAAGAGATACAGATTTGAGTTATGAGCAAAAGTTGTAGCTAATAACAAAACCTGTCAAAAATCTATACATCATTTTGCGGAATGCTGTTGATGAAAAAAATTAGAGGCAAATGAATGTAAATGAATGCATGAAATGAATGCAAATGATTTTCCATGCCTGGTTGTGAACATTGTACTTCCATCATATTTCGTTTTTGAAAAATCGGATTCGATGAAAAATATCCATTATCTCAAATAGGTAGAAATGTTGATATCAAACAGTGTTAAGTCAGGATTATTTACGGTTACGAACTTGAGCGTGATAACAAATCATGTTTTAAATTTCTCAAATTAATTGTTTGACCAAATATCGCATTTTCAAGTGTTGTTTTAATTTTATATGTTAAATCTTTATTTAAGGCCATATCCCAATCATCTGCCAAATTATTTATGATGATAAGATTTCCAAAAAAAAAAAAGATTTACCGAAAAAAAAAACACATCAATAATGAAGGTTTAGTGCGGACAAGACAGGTCTATTTATCATGAGAGAAATTCTTACCATATTTCAAATGACCAAAGGATCATGCAAATTAGCTCTGAACATTAGTTCTTCCTACATATAAATTAATTTGGAGAAGTTCTATGCATGGCCTGGTGGTGGTCAACTTCAAATATGTCACCCTCAGAAGGGTTACAGTAAAGACGATAATTTTTCCGGTAATAGTGCATTATTGTAAAAAGTTGATTGTAGTAGTCAAACTGTTCAGTATTTGGTAAAATTCAAAAGTGAAGGCGATGTGAACGTGATACGCACTTATAACAGTTGATGAATTGCTTCTCTATAGTATCGTGTGAACTAAGATGTCTTTCTAATCTAATCTAATCTAATCTAATCTAATACAAACGCAGCCAGTACGAGAAAGCATCCTGGAAAATGATTAAGTTAGATGAGGTCTAATCATTTTTCTTGTCTAATTGATTTTTAAAGCATATCTGAGATATGATATAAACATCAAGACGGCTAGGCCTACTGCGTTGTATTTGCCGCAAAGACATTTCTTGAATCTCAGGGGTGGAAGAATGCGTGGACATAGCGTACCAAACGCTCCGAGTTACTATGTGTAGTTGTGTGTAATGTGTAAATATTTGTACATTATTGGAGAAACATAAAATAATGCAATGGAAGGATCTTACCGAATTTTCTCCTATGTTGGTAATAATTCTTTTGCGCTTAAAAGTTTCGTTGGATGCATCCGCTCCTTGTTTATCATGGGGTTTGGGATGCAGTTTCTCGTCATAGCTCGTGGTTATGTTTAGTCCGTTGCGTCCAGACCAGATCCTTAGCCAAAATCTTGACCGCATCCATCTGATTTTCTTTGGCCAGCTTTTTTATGTCGGCGATGATCTTCTTTTCCTGCTGTTCCATTTTCATCTTCTCCCGATCCAAATCCCGCATCGCTTTTTTCAGAGCCCGCTGGTTCTTGCGCATCATCTCGTCCGGAGACATTTTCTTACCAAACAGCCACTCCATTTTGCTGGTTGTTTTCCGGATCAAATAATGGTAAAACTGGCTGAATAAAGCGGAACTTCGGTGATCTTGGCTACCCAAGAAACAATTTTGGTTTTATGAGGGCAGGCTTGCAATTGCTCATTACAGCTAAAATGCTATTTTTCGTTATAATGAAACAATGGGATACTGCAATGAGCAATTGCAAACCTGTATGAGGGTTCTGTAGACCATGATTTAGACTACTAGCATGCTTTAAAACCACTATTAAACTTGCAATGTTATTTGGGTAATCTTGCACAAAATTGGATTCTAATTTGTTTTTCGAATCTGACTCTACTTGTAATCGGAATACCGGTCATAAAAGCACTTGAAAAAAAAAACTTCTTTCGGCCATAAAAAGAAAAACTATTCTTCAAAAACTTATCGATTATCAAAACTGGCAAATTATCTTCAGAAAAAAATTGAAAAACCGCGACAAAAACATAATATACGAGCAATTTGACAACAGAATTTTTTCGCGTCGTGTGAACTAAGATGTCTTTCAGAGCTTTTACTATTTACATTATTTGGACACTATTGCATCAAATCACATTTTTAAAGTCTGTGGCTAATTCAATCCTCTCAATTCTCTTGAAACTCTCCATTTTAAATTTTCAACAGAATTTCTTTGGAATTGTGATATAATGATATGATTGAGAGCCTACCTCAGTGCAAGTATTACGTATGACAGTAGATATACATCAGTCAGGGTGTCGACCTCCGGGAAAATCAGGGAATTCCCTTTTTTTAGGACCGGTATACATAAGACTGATCCAAAATTTGAAATTTTCGCTCCACAGTGCTCAAACGGTTTCAAATTGGGTCCTGATTATCCTCCCAAAATTTGAACTCATTTAGTAATAACCTGACTTGGCACAAACCATTTGAAGTTTATATGGAAATTACTATGGGGAAACCATAATTTCGGTTCATATCTATCTCAAAATTCACCAGTTCACTCTACTTTAAAAATGATAGCTGAGCTTGTTGAAAATTTTCTTAGCTACAACTTTGTTCAAGACCACTTTTCGATCAAATGTACACACTCAATTCAGATCACCGAAGACGGTAGGAATTTACCGGGTTTTTGAACAGCAGAACAACTCGGTAAAATTTTCAAATGACCGTTACACGTGAGAAATCAAGAAAATTTATAAATTTTATTTTTCATCAATAAATGGGGTAAACTAAACAACTTCTGTACAAGTTCGGGATGAATTTTTTAATAATTGGATTTTTCACTAATTTTTAGACTTTTACCGAACAGTTCTGTAGTTCAAAATTTACCGAACGACGGAGGCCTGGATTAGTGTGTAAGGGACAACAATTATTAAAGATTCAAGTCACTGATGTCTTATGATTATGCTCAATCAACTGTTCAGCAGGCAACATTGGGGTTTATGGCGCGTAGAATAGAGGGCAAAAATCATGGCTACTATGTCACACTGTAGAATACAGTGTTGCCCACAATACAGTTGCTTAATCTTGCCATAAGATTATCAATCTCTTAAACAATTAATAACTATTTAATTTGACATTTGGCTAAAAACGATTTTCTGCAAAGTTGTAGCTGATAAAAATACACATTAGAATAGCAATAGAACTAGTTAACAGTACAATATGGAAAAAGGCTAGATGATAATGAACAAAAAGTTTTGTTTTCCCATAAGAATTTCCATATAAACTTAAAATGGTTTGTGCCAAGTCAGTTTCTTATCAAATGAGTTTAAACTTTAGGAGGCTAATCAGGACCCGATTTTTGAAACCGTTTGAACACTGTGGAGCAAAAATTTCAAAGTTTGCATCAGTCTAGTATGCATGTCCACCATCCTAGCTTGCGTCTTGCCCTGTATGTGGCTCCACTTAACAGAAAGATCAAATTTTGTTATTGTTCTGAATTCAACATATTTTGCTGTATGAAGGAACAAAATGGGTGTAGCGGACCTGTAAGCAGAGACACTTAAACCCACGGGAATAAGAGAATCTCCTTCCAACATTATGGTCCAACAAAACGAATAACGAAATTCGCAATACTAGTTAAGCTTTTCACGGGTTGGTTGGAATGCACACGATCACAATCGAATCCGTAGGGTATAGAAAATGACAGTGAACATTCCCTCCTAGACTCCACTTCACTCCATTGTCCAATTGCAACTTCAATGTTGCCCTGATGCTCCCTTCCGTCCCATCATTTGATGATGATGATGGTCCCACCTCTTACCCCTACAAAGGTTTGAGCTGGACGAGTTATCTTTAAGATAATTAAATATAAACATTTTAACCAGGTTTGCAAACAAAATCGAGCTGGTTACAATTACAGATATAAATGTCCTGTTAAATATGCTATAGGCATCAACCAAAAACATTCAAAGGTGTAACTAGTTATCAAAAGTCGAAGTATAGTCCTCGACAATACTTCCATTTACACGTGACCTGGGATTTACACGTTTAAGCTTCCGCAGTGCCAGGACTATATCCAAGGAAACGACTTCCAGCCAACCCTTTACTAATTCAAGGCTTTTGCCACAATTTCCACGTATTAGTCATTTATACCTGTATTCCGCGCGCGAGGCTCAAACCATCGTAGACTACTCAAAGCTATTTTTACTATTACTACTACAAAATCAAAAAACTAAAAATCCATCATCACCATCGAGGCAAATAATGTAGTTTTTTGTAAATGCTACACCAATTACTAAAATGTCTATATGACAGTCTCCATACAAAATAATCCGTTAGAGATAACTTTGTCAAGATACATGATTTATCCATTCATAAAAATTTAACTGCTCAATAAACAGCTTTTACATGTGAAATGCAGCGTCTCTTGAATTCTGTAAGTGTAGTTGCACGCTTGATGTGTCTAGGCATCGAATTGAAAACATTTATACCTTTGAAAAATAATGAATTTTGTGAAGCATTATTCAAAAGATGTGGTGTTCTTACTTCATCCGCGTTTCTAGTGTTATATCTATGAAAATCACTTCCTCTTTCAATCCGATCACACAAATATCGAGGCAGCAAACCGTTAACTACTTTAAAAATGAACACCATAGTCAAAAACACAATTTTTTGCTTCACTGACAGCCATTGCAAAG